CTATCAGTAATGTTTCTGACCTTCATCTCTGTACTTTAATTGTTCTACTAGCTGACTTGGTGCAGTTTTCCTTGTTCCACGTGTAAACCTCAGTAAAGATTACCGGGACAGACTTGAACGTACCCTGGAAGTGCTGCGTTGTTCCAGCTGGACGCTGCTGCCGAGTCTCGTCCCACAAAATGGTTTTAGTTGGAATGTAAAGAGCAAAAAGACACTTTTATTGTGCACAAGTCAACATTTAGTATGAAGCTGTTCCACGTGCACGCAGGCTGAAGAATCGTGCGCTCCTCAGCTCAGAACGTCTGACTCCTGTTGTCTTCCTCCAAAGCAGGACGTCAGTAGTTGATGCAGCGGCTGCAGCAGCTGCTAAAATATCTGCTTCAGTAGAAGAACTGATGAAACACAAACTGGTGTCGTGCACGAGGAGACTTTCAGGAAAACAACACCTCCATGTCTGACACCGAGCAACACGTGCACATTTAACAAAAACACTGCATCATTTTCAACTAATGGTTCTGGAGGGTCCGGGGGGGCTGGAGGGTCTTCAAAAACTCTCAACTGAAATCTTTAAAACAATGATCAATAAATCATTTTGGACAAATTAAAAGAGGAAAATAACTTTTTTTACCCACAAGCTGACATAAAAATATATTTGGTCAATTTAACAACAAATATTTTTTTTTTTTACCTAAAGTTCTTTAAAACAATTTAATCATTTAAATTAGATATTTTCATTTCAAGCTGAGAAAGCTAAAAAATTTTGACTAATTCATGAATAAACTAATAAAACATGAGTATTTTGAATCATTTCTGTAAGGTGGTTGATGTTTCCCCTAAAGAACACAAAGTGTCATAAAGTTAAAGGATAAATAAATTCAGGATGGTTGTCTGAAGGAATTCATGCTTTGACTTTTGATGACGCTGATATTTTACTAACACGTGTATTGTGTACGGTTGGTCCTCTTGATGACCATAAAAAAAAAACTTCATATTTCAAATGAATATTTTGTATTTTAAATTGAAAATCAACACATCTCTCCTTTTAGTCGTGATCTAAGCTGTAGAGTGGTAGTAGCTGAGAGTGGTCCACAAGCCAGACTCTGAGCTCTAACAGACCAGCTGAGATCTCAGAATATCACATGAGGTGGTTCATAACGTTATTTACAAGGTGTGACCAAAACGCTACAAGTTTCTAATCACAAGATGATCTTAGTGTCAAACTGTGGGATGAAAGGTGGCGGGTGATATGCATTCCTTCAAGGAGTGCTAGGCCTTGAATTGATCCAGTTTTTGTGTCTCTGACATCCTGTAAAACTAATTCTGTCCACTTCAATCATTTAGTTCATATTTCAGTTTGAACCTGCATCCTGTTGGCTTCAGCTCACATCTTTTATTCTTTATTCAGATTGGAGGACTGCTGTTTGTCAAAGATCAGCTGTTCTTCTCTGGCCTCATCTCTGAAGTCCAACCCCTCCCATCTGACACATCTGGACCTGAGCAGGAACCACCTGTCTGACTCTGGAGTGAAGGAGCTCTGTGGTTTCCTGGAGAGCCCAAACTGTAGACTGGAGGTTCTGAGGTCAGTTCACTGCAGCTGTTGGAGGTTTTCTATGTTTGTCCAACTAAAATCATTCCCTGATACTTCACAATTTATTCATTTATAAATATTTCATTCATTTCTAAAGTTCAACTTGAACACGTCTGTTTTGAAGTTTCTCTTTCCAAATGTCTAAAAACCATTTTAGAACAAAAACATGTTTGATGCTTGTTTTAACTTTAAATCACTTTTACTGGATTCAACATGAAACATAGTTATCACCTGCTGTGTGGGTGTGGGGGGTGGGGGGGTGGGGGGATTAATAAACATGGAGCAAATCCATCATTTGACCCAAACAATGAAAGAATGTGTCTCAGAGGACAGGAGACACATGACTGCAGAGACACCTGTCCCACCTCAGGACCTCCTGAAGTTAGCTTCTGATTCACAGCTGCAGGCTCAGCAGTTAAAGGGCTATTTCACACAATCTTGAACATTTGGACCACCTTAGATCAGCTCTGGGTCAGAATCTAAAATCCTGGTTCTGCTCAAACCTGCTCTGAATTATTCTACACTGAGCTGCTCTGCAGGAAAAGTTTTATCCAAATAAAGTTTGACTGGACTCAGACCAGGTCTGAACAGAACCAGGAGTTTAGATTTTCAACCAATTTCTGTGAATTAATTTCTGTTTGACAGGATGTATATATATTTTTTTATTAAGTTTAAGACTATAAAAGGAAAATCAAAATGTATTTTTTAAATTTCATTTCAGGCCACAAAACTAAAAGCAGCTCATATTTAAAATGATATTTAGATATTTAAAATTTTTTAATGAAAACAACCTCTCCTTTTAGTCCTGATCTAAGCTGTGGAGTGGTAGTAGCTGAGAGTGGTCCACAAGCCAGACTCTGAGCTCTAACAGACCAGCTGAGATCTCAGAATATCACATGAGATGGTTCATAACATTATTTACAAGGTTTTACCAAAACTCTACAAGTTTCTCATCACAAGATGATCTTAGTGTCAAACTGTGGGATGAAAGGTGGCGGGTGATATACATTCCTTCAAGGAATGCTAGGCCTTGAATTGATCCAGTTTTTGTGTCTCTGACATCCTGTAAAACTAATTCTGTCCACTTCAATCATTTAGTTCATATTTCAGTTTGAACCTGCATCCTGTTGGCTTCAGCTCACATCTTTTATTCTTTATTCAGATTGGAGTACTGCAGGTTGTCAGAGATCAGCTGTTCTTCTCTGGCCTCATCTCTGAAGTCCAACCCCTCCCATCTGATAGAACTGGACCTGAGCTGGAACCAAGACCTGTCTGACTCTGGAGTGAAGGAGCTCTGTGGTTTCCTGGAGAGTCCAAACTGTAGACTGGAGGTTCTGGGGTCAGTTCACTGCAGCTGTTGGAGGTTTTCTATGTTTGTCCAACTAAAATCATTCCCTGATACTTCACAATTTATTCATTTATAAATGTTTCATTCATTTCTAAAGTTCAACTTGAACACGTCTGTTTTGAAGTTTCTCTTTCCAAACGTCTAAAAACCTTTTTAGAACAAAAACATGTTTGATGCTTGTTTTAATTTTAAATCACTTTTACTGGATTCAACATGGAACATAGTTATCACCTGCTGTGTGTGTGTGTGTG